GAGCTGGCCAGTGCAGAGGCAGCCACAAAGGGCCGAGGTCTTGGTGGGAGAATGCAGAGTTGGCAGCTTTAGTGAATTCATTGACTGATTATTGCAATGCCCCGTTGAGTCACACTGTAAATGACTGCATGTTGTAATTGGAAGCTCAGCCAGTGTCGAGTGTGGTTCAATTGGACAATTGCTATGCGCTTTCAAGGATGGATGTGGACCATTTATCTATGTCTTGTTGTCTCAGCACGTCTAGAGTCAATGCTAATGAGAACAGATCCATTTTCCTAAAGCACCATTTCTATTATAATGCACCTGGGTTAAAAGCCTGCAATGACAGCCCATTACCTAGGTGGAAAAGGCCAAATGCCACATTTGGAATGGTGATGTCTCCAGAGCTGGCCAGCCTCTCTCTAGCTTAGCCTCCCTCTGCTTCCCACACATGCTTGATTCTGCCAGGCGGGTACAGCTCCCAAACCCCCACCCTCAACATGCCTCACACTCTCCCCTTCCATAGGTGTTACTCAGTCTTTGTCATTGTGACCAAAATACCTAACGAGAACACTGTAGAAGAAGAAGAGTTTATTTCAGGCTCACCGTTTCAGAGGTTTCCGTCCTTGGTCAACCAACTCCATTGCTCTAGGCCCCAGGTGAGGGAGAACTTCATGGTGGATCAGCTGCTCAGCTCACGGCATCCAGAAAGCCAAGAAAGACAGAAAGACGCCAGGGACAACTGGGATCTTCAAAGTCACACCCCTGGCTACCAGCTTCCTTCAGACCCACCCTGCCTACCCATAGTTACCACCCATTAAGTGGATTAATCCACCGACAAGGTTATAGTTCTCATAATCTGATCATTCACCTCTGAACATTCCTGCATTGCCTAACACACGGTTTTTGGGGGACATTAAAAAGCCAAACCAAAACATCACACCTTTGCCCATGACATTCCCCTACCTCAACACCCTCCTCTACTCCTAGATAAGGGCATCATTACATTGAGTCCAGGGAAACCCTCTGCAAAGTCTCCTACTGTCCCACTGAGGACAAATAAGATGAAACCACACACACTGAAGTATATTATGTCAGCCACTTGCCTATAGGTATGTGCATTCATTTAATGTTTATGGAGTACCTACTGAATGTTGGGTATTGCCGAGTTATAACCATATTCTAATATAGAGTATGTATTATCTTCCGATGGTTAGGTTATGCCAAGGTATCACCAACTTGGTGGCTTAAAACAACAGAAATTTATTCTCTCACACTTCCCAAGTTTGAAATCGAGGCATTAACAGGGTAGGCTCCTTCTGGGGTTCTGAGGGTGATTCTCTTTCACATCCGCCTCCTCGCTCCTGGAGGTTGCCAACACTCTTAGAATTCTTTGGCTCGGAGATGGATCACTCCAACTTCTGCCTCCATTTTCGTATCTCCCTTCCTCTGTGTCTTTCTTTCTTTTCCCTCAGAAAGACACTTGTCTTTAGATTTAAGTTCCACCCTCATCCAGGATGAAATCCTCTCAAGATCCTTGACTTAATTACAACTGCAAAGACACTTTCACCAAACGAGGTCACAGGCGCAGTTTCCGGGGGAAGGATGTATTTTTGGAGGGCATCATTCAACCCACCACACAAATGTTTTAAATAAAAAGGTCTTTATTCTTCTCCCTTACTGAGAAGTCTGGAGGCGGGCAGCTACCAGCCCTGGCTTATTTGCTCCCCTCCCTGCCGCTCTGTTGCTCTTCCTCTCATCCTGTAAGCTAGTCACCTCAGCTCACTATATTGTGCCTGCATGGGTGGTGGCAACACCAGTGTCATTTGTCCTGTTGTCACCAAAGCACAAGTTTTCTTAGACTCTACCCAGCAGACATCTCCTCAGAAAGAAAGGCTTGGAGAAGAGATTTGAGCTCTCCTGTCAGTGTCTACCACGAGAAGGGGAATACACAGGGACCAACACAGAGTCCCCACCCTTAGGAAGCTGAGTTATTGCCCCAACACTCAGGACAACCTTGCCTTCAGGCTTATTTGACTGCAAGAAACAGACTGTACTGGTAGTGAACCCCATGTGCACGGTCCCCCTTTAACACAGACCCCATGTCTGAAGGCACTGACCCCAGTCTTCCTTCAGCCATCAGACCCCATGGGGTCTAACTCATCTGCAGAGGGTGGCCTTGTCCAAGGGCACACCATTTCCAGAGACTGCCACAGCCAATGAATGATCGTTTTGACTGAATTTGAACAACTGTGGAGGGCCACTCTGTCAGCAGTTTCCCACGATGGGTGACAGAATTGTGCTCCCTTCCTTTACCTCTCACCCCATAATTCCTTTGTTGAAGTTTTAACCCCTCGTACTTCAAAATATGACTTTATTCAGCGATAAGGCCTTTAAAGAGGTCATTAAGGTAAAATGAGGTCATTTTGGAGGTCCCTAATCCAAGAAAAAGAAATTAGGACCCAGCCACACATAAAGAGAAAGACCACGTGAGGAACCTGGAAAAGATGGCATCTTCCAGCCAAGGAGAGAAACTCAGAAGAAGCCAATCCTGCTGACACCTCCATCGCAGCCTCTAGGGGTGTGAGAAAGTAAAATGCTACTCCTTCAGGGTGCGTGTTTATGGCCGCCCTGCAAGTGATCCTGCATGGACTGGCCAAGGCTGTGGGCCTTCACCTTGCGGGCCTCTCCCTCTGCCCTCCCCTGTCTCCTTCCCTTCCTCCCCACAGGTGACCGTCTCATCCCAGTGGATGTGGCACATGCTCAACTCCATCTCAGAGGCGCCCTCTGGTGGCCTGTGCCTTTGCAGAGGGGAGGCTGTGGGCTGGGTATGAGGTGCAGAGTCAGCGCCTGGGGTGGGGCAGGGAACACAAGGGCCTCTGACGGCTGGCACAGCATCTCAGCAGCCTGTCTCCCCCCACTGTTTCCCGCCAAGTCTCCTGGAACATCTTCCCCCTCCCTGGCTCCTCCAGCAGGCGCCCCTGCGTCCCAGCCTGATCTATTAGACGGTCCACCGCTGGGGGCGCTGTTCAAATCTAGGATAATCTGATTGGTCCTGCTGGAGCCCACGTGACCGTGGGCGGGGCCTCAGCCTCTGGGCCGGGTCGTGGCCAGGAGGGAGCGTGTGTGTTTCACGTGGGAGGAATGGGACTTGGGACGCTCTGCTCTCTCCCTTCCGCATGCATCCGGAGACACTGGGCGCCACTTCCCCAGGCCCAGGAGGATGGAAGGCTTTGGAAGCCGGGTCTGGGTGTGAAGCTGCTTTGCATTCCTCTTCTCCCTGCGCTCGAACCGTAGCCCGCAGCCAGCCCAGCTCCGAGCTGGTGCTGAATGAACATTTGTGCATTCGAGGCCGGAGGCCAGGATTTCAGATCAGTTTAATTCATTTTCTTTCCCCATCACAGACCCACCTTGGAATCCTTCCAGCCCTCTCTCTACAAGAGGCATGACGTGATGGTCAGGGGCGCAGCTGCGCCGTGGTCATATACAGTATGAATTTATTTAACATCTTTTTTCATTGTGGTAAAATATACCTTACATAAAATGCATTATTTTTTCATGTTTCAACGTACAGTTCTGTGGCATTAAGTCCATTCACCCTGTTGTGCCACCATCACCACCATCCATCTCCAGAGCTCTTTCCTCTTCTCTGTCCCCATTAGACAATAAGTAACTTCCCTTTCCCCTCTCTCCGGAAGCCTCTGGTTAGCATCATTTTACTTTCTGTCCCTTTGAGTTGGCTACTTTAGATTTCCCAGAAAGAAGACTCCTACAAAATGGATGGATCTGGAGGCAATCATGCTAAGTGAAATAAGCCAATCCCCCAAACCCAAAGGCTGATTATTCTCTCTGATATATGGATGCCAGCACAAGAGGGGGTGGGGATAAAAATTCATTGGATTAGACAAAGGGGAATGAAGAGAAGGGAGGAGGAATGGAAATAGGAAAGGAGAATGAATTGGACATAACTTTCCTATGTTTGTATGTGAATTTAGGACCAGTGTAATTCCACATCATGTACAACCACAACAATGGGAAGTTATCTTCTATGTATGTATAATATGTCAAAGTACCATCCACGTATTTTACATATACATATTATACATCATGTATAACTAAAAAGAACAATTAAAAAAACTTTAAGGAAAAAAAAAGGACTTATACAATATCTGTCCTCTTTGTGACTGGCATATTTCACTTAGTATGAAGACTGCAAGGCTCATCCATGTAGCCTGTTTCAAAATTCCCTTCCTTTAGGACTGAATAAAATATTCCATTGTATATACCACATTTTGTTTATGCATTGACAGTAGACATTGTGTTCCATCTGTTAGTAGCTCTTTTTTAGGAAGAAAAATCAATTTAACTAACATTCATTAAAGAGATGAAATTTATGATATTTGTGTCTGGAATTTGTTTCAAAGTATTCCATAATATTTGTGGGGAGGTTGAGGGGTAGGGAGCAGGCACAGATGAAATAAGATTGACCTCATGAAAATAATTGTGGAAATAGAGCTTTTAAGAGACTTGAGAGACACTTCAATCAAATGCAACATATAGACTTTGCTTTGATTCTGATTTAAATAAAACAAGTGTAAAATCAGAATTAGATAACAGTCAAATTTCCCAAATAGGCTAGTTTTAATGGACCTTACAATGAAGTCCCCTATGCCCTATTCTGGTAAAAAAGGTAACATGAAGTAATGTGCTCTTAATCAGTTATTTTTCTATTGTTCTGTCTCTCTGTCCCCACTTTTACATGGGAAGTCACTTTAAAAATGACCAATCTGCTTCTTATTCTTCTGTTTCTGCTTCTTTCAACCTTTTTTCTTTCTATAAAACCAGACTCCTCTGCTTGGCTCATTGGAGCACTTATTTTATTTTATGGAATGAATTAAAAGTAAAATTAATGAAGGCCTTTATACTAAATTGATGTAAGTTGTCCTGTGACAGCACATACAAAGCACTGTATTACTCAAAACACCCCTGCAAGGTAGTTGCTATTATTATTCCCCTTTTACAGATGAGAACACTGAGGCACAGAGAAATCAGGAGACCTGGTGGAGAGCTGGAAAGGCTGGACGTCGCTACCTAGAGAGAATCTGTCCATGGCAGAGTTTTTAAAAATTCCAAGAAGGAGACCAAGTGCCCACAGGTTATTTAAATCCTTGGATTTGAGTCCCTAGACTCAACTGTATCATGAACTTTTCCATTTTATGAGGCAGTTCTATTTGTTTATGAGTGCAAGCGAGGACAACTCTGAAGGGAGAGGACACGGAGATAGGGTTGTCCAGAGTGGGGAGGTCAAAGGGGAACGGCCACCAGACAGAAGAAACTCTCCTAGAGCACTGCTTCCTGGCTGGGGGCAAGTGCAGTCCAGTGCTCAAAGGAGCCAGGACTCAGCAGTCAAAGCCCTGGGCGTCTGCCGCTCACGGGCTGGAGTGCTGTCCCCAGCCTTGCCTGGGTGGTTGTCCCTGGGTAGTTCACCGTGACCCTACAACTTAAAACCCAGGGGCCGGAACTTTCATTCCTGTTTCCAGGGACCTGAAATTACTGAGGCCCAGATGCTGTGGTGAGACCTCTGTGACCTTTGCTTCCAAGGATTCTTCTAGAACCACTCCCCAGGGTTTGTGTGACTCTACAGCCGTGGGGGCAGGGGCTCTAGCTCTCTACACCCTGGCACTACCAGAAGCCTACTGGCCGTTTTCCCAGGTTGATTGTGAGAGAAGAAGCTGGCAAATTCTGTGGTAGGTTGGCAGGCTAGAAGCCCAGGGAGACGAGCAGGGTAGGCCACGTCTGGAGGCAGACTTCCTCTTCCTTACGCTTTTTCTCTAAAGGCCACTGTCTTCTAAGAGGGGACCCTGTGTGGTGGAAAACCACCTGCTTTACCAAAATCTGATCTTCCAAAAGATGGCGGAATGTGATGGTCATCATTACCCCAAGTTCATGTATGAAGACACGAGGATGTGACTCTGCTTTGTGTACAACCAGAGGTATGAAGAATTGTGCTCTATATGATAATTATGAATTGCAATGCATTCTGCCGTCATATATGACAAATTGAATTTTTTAAAAAAAATTTTAAAGTGAATTTAAAAATAATCTAATCTTCCAGAGGTTAATCTAGTCTTAAAAATACCTTCACAGTGACATCTGGGCTCCTGTTTGACCAAATATCTGGGTACAGTGGCCAAGGCCACCTGATACCTTCACACCCACAGCTGTGACCTTCGTCAGCAGCGATGGTGTGTGTCTTATTTAATCCCCTCAACAAGCCCAGGAGGGAGAGCCACTGTTGTCCTCGGTCTACAGACGGGGACATGAGTGACCCTAGAGCAGACCCAGGTGTGAGAGACTATGCTTTTGCTCAGTCGCCCTTAATCTTTGCCACTTCCCATCTGCTATCCCATCATAGTCTGGATAATCAGATCCAAATCTCTACAATTCAACAAAACAAAACTCCCCATTCTCTCTTTCCTCTCTCTCCAGGGAAATGGCCTTGAAAGAGCTGTCTGTTCCTGGTGCCCCGGGTCTTATTCTTCCCCCGCTCACAGCACCCTCGTGTTAGCCTCTACCAGAACAAGGAAACTATGTTGAGCAAGGCCACAAATGATGTGTCCATTGCCAAAGCCATTGGATAGGACCCTTTGTTTGTGTGCTTATTGTAGAAACTATATTTATGCAGCAATTGTTCATTGTTTAAAAAAAATAGAGAAGCACTTGTGGTCAAGATGGTGTTAGTGTCGATAAACATTAGGGACATGCTTTCTGCTACAAGCCCACTGCAGTCACAGATAAAACCTTCAATCTGAACGCGTGAAACGGCACAGCTGAGCTCACAGGGAAGATCGTCACATTTCATGGATCAGAAACAGGAGAGAACACTCAGCAGAGGGTGAGGACCAGTGTTGCTGGGCAGAAGCAGGCAGCGTGGGCAGGACGTGGGTTCCTGGCTCCGAGGAAGCAGGAACAGAGGCCACAGAGGCCAGGGCTGAGGGGAGGCTGGAAGGAGGACTGGTGAGCTCTCACTTAGAACAAGACTGACAAAAGAGTTCCTTCAAGCCTCTTTCAGAACTAAGCCTGTGTGAAGCTGAATGACTAAGTGGGCAGTGACCCCAGTGGAACAGGAACAAGGACCTGCCTTGAGCCACCTGCTAGGGGAGTGGACCACCCACCTTGCCAAGAAGCCAGAGATGCCATCATCAGCTGCAAGTCAGGTTGACAAGAGAACTGCAAACCCCTAGACAAGGAAAGGGGAAGCAGAGGGAAAGAGAATGGAATCAAGCTCTAAATGTATCTGCCAGCTAAGTCCAAAACACACCAAGAAATCCATCTCCAGGAGATAATAGGCACTGAATCAACTGTTGACAACTTCTTCTCATTGGGTGAAATTAAGATAATAAAAATTAAGATAATAAAAATTAAGATAATAAAAATTGTGACGTATGCAGTCGAGGGGAGAAATTGCTGAGAGCCATTGCCAAGTAGGAATGACACATCGAAATTTTCTTGTCAGCCTACCCCATGTTGCTTAGAGGAAGGACTCTCCATTGTGGAAATGGGCTTGCCTTTGGACCCAGGTCATTTGCAGTGACATTGCATGTATGCTTGAGTAAGGTGACCTTGCTCAAGGACCAGGGCGGATCGGGGGTTTAGGGAGTATCCTGCTCCTTGGGTTTAGGGCGGTTCCAGGTTTAAGGTGTACCCTGCTGGGAATAGGGCGTATCCTGCTGCCTCAGGCACGCCCGCTCCTTGAGTTCCCCTTGAGTTCTCATGGGATTCAGAGAGTTTTTGGGATTGAGAACGTGGATTTCCCCAGAACCTGTGTAGAGTGCCGGTGTGAGTTCAGGAATAAAGAATTGCTGTTTGAATCTACAAGGCTGTGAGTGGCTCGTGATTTTGTGCCCAGCCAGACTGCAGCAAGAAATAAAGAATATCCACGCGATTCTGCCCCTTTCAATGCTTTATTCACTCAAATTACTCAGTACACTTTCACTCTATAGGTTCTTAATCAAGAAAACAACAATCCTTAGTGCTAGGCACTGCAATAGACATAATCAATTCACAGCAAACAACACTAGATTAAGTAATCCACAGCAAACAATTCTAGATTGATTCTAAGCACTGCAAAACACTTAATCGTGATGGGCTCGTGACAGGCATTCCCTCTGCAGGCTAAGTCAAAAGTCTCCAGCCTTAGGCTTTAAGTCCAGCAGATGCACTCTCACTCAGACCGCGGTGACCAGGTCCGGAACCAAGGCAGGTTTTTCCTGGCATGGAGAGGACAACTGATTGAGGAGAGGGTTGTAGGGAGAGAAGGCAAGGCTCTCACTAAGGTCCAGACGAGGCAGTAGAGTTTGAGAGTGGTGAGGATCACACAGAGGATCAGGAAACGATGACGAGTGATGGCATCAGGTCCTCATCAGGCGCTCCAGCTCGAGTGCATCCTTGTTTCTGCTGGCTGAAGCCCTGTTCATTTGCTCTATCATTTATACTAAATTTGGGGGCTTTTGACCCCCCTTTCAGTCCTTATCAGCTACCACCTGATTTCTCAGTGACATCATTTACCCTGGGGTCAGAAACACCTGGTCTCGTGGTCTCCACCCTGACCTTCTCGCCTTTCCCTCTTACCAGGCGAGGACAGCCCGCCAGGGGCTTCACTCTGTTCCTCAGGGTGAGGGGAAGTCACTTGTCGGAGAGCTCTGAGGGTGTGCCTGGGGAGACTGCAGGTTTCCAAGTGGAGTTTTTTTGTTTTTGTTTTTTTGTTTTTTTTTTTAAGAGAGAGTGAGGGGGACAGAGAGAGAGAATTTTAACATTTATTTATTTTTTCTTAGTTCTCGGCGGACACAACATCTTTGTTGGTATGTGGTGCTGCTGAAGATCGAACCTGGGACGCAGGCATGCCAGGCGAGCGCGCTACCGCTTGAGCCACATCCCCAGCCCCCATCAAAGTGGAGTTTTTAAAATGGAGTTGCTTAGGCTCAGGACCAAGACCATCCTAACACTGAGAAAGAGTTTAAAATAAATATGTTTCAGGTATGTAAATAAAGTGATGGGAAAATAAATAAGAATAAACATTACGAATCAAAACAGGCAGCAATGAACTTCAAAGAGGATGAAGATGAAAACCAACCCATTAGTAATCTTGAACGTACAAAAGATATGTTCTGAAATCAAAAATCTGAAAGAATGGGTATAAAACTAAATTTGGGGCAGTCATGAAAAATAATTAAATTAAAAGATAAAACCGGGACACTACCCAAAACTTGGGCACCGAAAGACAAAGTTTAGAAAGTATGTAAGCATAAGTGAGGAGAGAGGAAGAAAACAGTTGTCGAGGGCACGTAGGGAGGGCAGAGAAGGTGACAGAAAAAGAATAACAAGGGAATGATGGGTCAGCATTTCTTCAAATGAAAGACCAGGCTTCCAGACGGAGTGGTGCTGCAGACCATCCAGGTGGAGAGGAAACCTGCAAGGCAATCAAAGAGAACTAGAGTATTTTAAAGGACCTCAACAAGACAGTAATTTTTGCATGAGCAACAAAAGATATTGGTGATAGTAATGACGATAGCTAACCCTTGAAGAGGTACCTGTGTACCTATGTGCCAGGTACCTGAGGTACTTGATGTATATTAATGAACTCTCACAGCAATGCTAAGACATAGGCTTATTTTACCCTCTTTATAGATGAGAAAACTGAGCCAAACCCACGTTCTTGTTGGAGGCCTCACTGTTAGTAAGTGGGACTTAACCTTATCTGGCTTCCATGGCTCCTACCCCCTGCTCCATGTTGCATCTCACTGCAGAGAAATATGCTCAAGATTGTGACAGAAAACACATGACAGCCTAGAATTTCATCCACTACTGAAGTCAGGGGTGTTTTGGCACACAGAGATGAAAAACATGTACTACTCAGACATTCGTTAATATTATTAATGTGTGTATTTCATCAAAATTATCTCAAAGGGAAAAACATAGGAATTGAGAAACAATGAGTTGATCATCAGTATTAGTAAATTCAACTATAAAATGTAGAAATAAATATTTAAAGAAGGGTTGAAACTTAGGAGACAGTGACAAGAACAAAAGTTAAAGAAACTTGTGTTTCTTTTCATGTTTTAAAGGAGGAAGAAATATTGAATGACTTCAGTCTTTTTTTTTTAAATTATAGTTACAAGTAATAATAAAAGATAGAAATAGAATCTGTGGCTTTCACACCAAGAGAGCAAAAGAAGGAATATAGAAAATTTTTATCAATGCAGCAGAATAAATGGAAGGAAAAAACAGAAGCAAAGAAAAAGAATAGCAAATAGAAAGAGCAAAATAACACTAGGAAAAAGATCTTCAAATATATTAGAAATTACATAAACATAAAAGGAATAAATTCCTTGGTGAAGAGATAGGGATTATGACATTGAATTTTTAAAAATCTGGGCATACTGACAAAGCCATTGTTTTAGTCAGTTTTTTTCTTTCCTGTGACTAAAAGATCTGACCAGAACGATTGTAGAGGAGGAAGTTTATTTGAGGGCTCACAGTTTCAGAAGTCTCAGTGCATACAGAGTGGGCTCTATTCTTTGGGGTCAAGGTGAGGCAGAACATCATGATGGAAGAGCGTGGTAGAGGGAAGGTGCTCACATGATGATCAGAAAGCAGAGAGAGAGAGACTAAGCTCAGCCCAGCAAATATATACTCCCAAAGGCATGCCCCCAGTGGTCTACTTCCTCCATCCACACCCTTCCTGCCTTCAGCCACCACATAGTTAATCCTATCAGGGAATTAATTCACTGATTAGGTTAAGGATCTCGTAACCCAATCATTTCTCCTTTTAATGTTCTTATATTGTCTCACACATGAGCTTTTGGGGGCACCTCAAATCTAAACTAGAACAGCCATATTGTATGGCTTGCAAACACTAACAGGAAGAAAGCTGGGATTGTAACACTCAAGTCAGATGCTACCAATTTGGATCTTGAACATTTCCCAAAAGGCTGTTAAAATACTGGTCCCTAGGTGGCAGTATTGGAATGGTGGAACCTTGGAGGGGTGGAACCTACTGAGAGGTGTTTAAAGGACTGGTCCCTAGATGGCAGTATTGGAATGGTGGAACCTTGAAGGGGAGGAGCCTACTGGGAGGTCTTTAGGTCTTTGGTAGTGTCCTTAAAGGGGAATGTATTAGTCAGCTTTTTGTGATTGAGATACATGACAAGAACTTAGATGAGGAAATGTTTATTTTTAGCTCATGATTTCAGAGTTCAGTCCATGGTCATTTGGCTCCATTGCTCTGGGCCTCAAGTGAGGCAGAACATCATGGCAGAAGGATATGGCAGAGAAAGGCTGCTCAGCTCATGATAGCCAGGAGTCAGACAGAAAGAGAGGAGCCAGGGACAAGATAAATCCTGCCCCCAGTGATCTACTTCTTATTAATAGTTACCACCTAATAGTCCATTCAGGTTTTCATTCCATCAAATGGAATAATCCATTGTTTAGGTTATATCTCTCATAAGCTAATCCTTTCACCTCTTACCATTCCCGCTTTATCTAACACATGAGCTTTTCTAGGAACACCTCATAGCTAAAACTTAACAGGGGTTGGGGGACCAAGCTCTTTCTTCTTCCTCTTTGCTCTCCAGTTTGTGAGACGAACAGTTTTGCTCTGCCACACACTTCTGCCATGATGTGTTAACTTGCTACAGGCCTAAAGTAATAGGGCCAACCAGTCATGAACTGAAACCTTCAAAACTGTGAGCCAAAGTAGTGATTTTCTCTTTATAAGTTGATTGTCTCAGGTATTTTGTTCTAGTGATGAAAAGTTGACTAATGCATAGGACAACAACAACATTAAAAGAGTGGTATACAAAGTTGAAAGAAATTACCTTCCTAAGAAGATATAGCTGTCATAAACTTGTATGACCTTGCCAGTACCACCTTATAATATAAAAAGCAAAATGGATCAAATTACCAGGAAAATGGAAAAATCTATTTTCAGAGAAGAAAACCATAAATGTTCCCAAGGACATGATTATAAAAAGATGACAAAAATATTTGAGATTTAAATTTAAACAAAACATTCAAAGCTTTTAAATTGGTAAAAAATGTGCAGAGAATACATGTTATTTTCAAATATAAGTAACATTTAAAATTGATCATATATTACATCACAATATTTTCAGAGAAATAAAATTAGGTTCTCATTTTCTGTCCACAACACACTTAAATTGAATGTCAAACTTCCGACAGTTTGGAAATTTAAAAAAGGCACCTCACACAACAGATGGGTTAGAAAGAAAAATATAATGGAACAGAAAATATTTTGAACTGAAGAACATTAAAAACATTACTTAGCTGGGCTCAGTGGTGCATGCCTAAGCTCAGTGATTTGGGAGGCTGAGGCAGGAGGATCACAGGCCAGCCTCTAGCAAAGGCCCTAAGCAACTTAGCAAGTCCCTGTCTCAAAATAAAAATGAAAAGGGCTGGGGATGTGGCTCAGTGGTA